AGGAAAAAGAATATGGTCCTTGCACATGAGCGACATCATTTTGTGCCTGTGGATGTTGCAGCTGTGATATCTCCCAGGCTCTCATCTCCTCCTGCTTGGACTATTGCAGCAGCCACCTGGCTGTTCTCCCTGACTGTAGGCTCACCTCCTCCTGCCTGACCTCCGGGTTCTGACACTCCTGGTCTGAAGCCTTCACTGGTTTCCCAGCCCTAACAGGAGGAAAGCATAACTTTCCTGACTATCCACCACTCTGTTGGCCTCTGCTGTGGCCTCACTGAAGACCTGTTCACACTTGGAACAGTCCTACCTCCAGCCTTCTGCTTGTGCCTGCAAAGCCCTGCCTCCCTTCTGCATAATGAACTTCTACCCATCTTTCAAGGCCCAGCTCAAACACTCCCCTCCATTCCAGAAAGCCTTCCTCCATGCTTTGCCCAGACCATCTTAGCTAGATGAAACACAGTTTTCTAAAGACGGTGCTTTTGTGAAGTTTGAAGGAAAGAAGGTGCGTGCTCCTCAGATGTAATGATGGTGGTGAGTTCAAGCAAGGGAAAGAAACAGAGGAGTGGAGCCCCCAGACTCAAAGAAGGCCAGGATCTGGTGGGGCCCATTGAGCACTGAGGAAGGTTCTTTCCTCCCTGCTAAGAGCATCGTGGCTGCTCAGCACACAGGACAGGCCTCTAGACATCACTTGGTCTGATTCATCCTATGACAAATGGGGAAACAGAGGCCCAGAGTGGGGAGACAGTGTCATATAGGCAAGAAGGTCCTGGCTGGGAGGCAGGAGCCTGTCACTGGAGTCCCCTCCTAGCCTGGGAAGCCCCCTCACCTTTCTGAGGCTCTGTTTCCTCACATGTAAAATGTGGACACTTGTACCTATCTTGAGTTTCACAGGGTTGTCAGGAGGGTTAAATGAAATCCTGAATGCCAGGGAGGGCTTGGTGACCAAAGTAGGGTCCTTGTCATCGTGGCTGACATATGCTGAGCATTCGCCAGGTGTCAGGACCTCTGTATATTATTCCATTCAGTCTTCACAACAACCCTATGAGGTTGGATCTGTTACTTTCTCCCACTTTACAGAGGAGGAAACTGAGGCAAAGAGTGGTTGAGTGACCTGCCAAAGTTCATGGAGCTGGGAATAGACAGACCCAGCGTTTGAACCTAGGCAGCCTGCTCCAGAGCTCGTGCTCCCAGCCTCTGTGCCAGACTGACTGAAGGCCCATGGGGTTCAGTGGCAGCACATGGACTGAAGTCTGGGCCGTCTGATGCTTCCTAGCCTGGGTAGGCCAAGTCTGTAAACAGGTTGCTTCCTTGGTGAGTAAGGACCTGGCCTCCCCATATCATGTAGGATGAGGGCTCCTATACCCAGCCGGGTTCCCATGTGGCACTTCAGATAATCAGACACCACTCCAGAGTCCCCAACAGGTGGCCGGATCAGCTCCTAGGTCAACCTCATGCCTGGAGGTGGTCAAGCTCCCATTACACAGAGCGTATCACTCTAATAGGGCCTCTCACAGGACAGGGGCCCTGTACTGCGGGTGCCACCATGCCACCACTCTTAGCCCACCAGGTGGGGTGGGTCCCCGGGGGGTTCATTTCTTCCACTGAGGGGCAGGACGGGGTGGTGGATGGAACCTGGGCAATGGGTCAGATAAACTGGTTTGAATCTAGGCACATAGTAGGTGGTCAGTACACCCCTGGCTATTGGTAATAATAATGGGAGCAGTGGTACTGTCACCTGAGTTAGAGAGGTCTGCTCTGGAAGTGTGTCCCTGATTGGCTTAGGAGTTTCCATGCTTTTGTTCATTCATTCAACCAATAGTTATTTGCACCTGCTAGATGCCAGGTGCTGAGTCAGATGTAGAAGAAGCCTTGGTGGGACAGTGGTTAAAGTTCTTGACTGCCAACCAAAAGGTCAGCAGTTTGAACCCACCAGCTGCTCTGTGGGAGAAAGATGTGGCAGTCTGCTCCCATAAAGATTACAGCCTCGGAAACCCTGTGGGGCAGTTCTACTCTGTCCTACAGGGTCAGTATGAGTCAAAATCGACTCTACGGCAGTGGGTTTAGTGGGTTTTGTTTTAGATGTTGGGATAGAGACATGAACTAAACTGACAAAACTCCCTGCCCCATTGCACCTACATCCTAGTGGGGGAGGCAGATAATAAACATGATAAACAAGGTATACTGGATTGTGATCAATTCTATGGAGAAAAATAAAGCAGGAAAGAGGGATGGGGTGGAGGGAGTTTCCATTTTAAATGCAATGGACAGGGAAGGCCTCACAGGGAAGATGTTTGAGCAAAGCCTGGAAGGAGGTGAGGGAGAGAGCTGCGGGACGTCTGCGAGGAGATTGTATTGCAGGAAGGGAGGTGAACCCCCAGTGTTTTTTCGAGCACCTCCTGTCTGCTGTGGATGGGACATTAATCTGGGGGTAAGGAGGATGGGACACAGAGTGTGGAGGGGAATCAGGCCCCGAACTGCAGGGGCAGCCACCCCATGCCATAGGACACACCCATGCAGGTCAGGTCAGGTCAGCATGGGCTGAGCCCCATGGGGCAAATCCAGTGATGAGGGATGAAAGGAGATTAAATCCCCCTGAAAAGGGGCAGGAGGGGGCTTCCCAGAGGAAGAGGCATCCGAACAGGGCTCTGTAAGGCCAGGCAGGGTCCTTCCAGGGTGGAGGATGGTGGGAGACACTCTGACTTAGGCACCTCCTCTAAAGGAGGGAGAAGTGTGTGTGGACCTTTGCAGGCCTCCAAGAGCCAAGACCAATTGCGGGTGGAGGATAGGTAAACATACATAATTAACTAATTAACTCCCCCAAGTACGCTTGAAGGAGTAATGGTGGCGCAGTGGTTGAGCGCTCAGCTGCTAACCAAAAGATGGGAGGTTCTAACCCACCAGTGGCTCTGTGGGAGAAAGGTGTGACAGTCTGCTTCTGTAAGGATTTACAGTCTTGGAAACCCTATGGGAGCAGTTCTGCTCTGTCTTATAGGGTCACTGTGAGTCGGAATCAATTTGATGGCAGTGGATTTTTTGAGTGGACTTGAGACTTGCACTTTTGTGTGCTAGAGATCAGGGAGGCTTCCTGGAAGAGGTGGTCTTGGAGCTGGGTCTGGTAGATGGACACGATGCTACTAAATGGTGATGCAGAGATGGCCTTTGCCAGAGTAGCCCAATGCCCATTGCTGTCAGGAAGTGCCTCTGATGGGGCGGCTCCTCAGGTGCTCTGAGCCCAGAGGGGAGGGCGGCTGTCCCCCTTCTCCAGGCTGCTCTGTCTCTCTGCTCCCCTAGCCTGCCCCTGAGGAGGAGGAGGAGGAGGTGCTGGGGCACTAATGGCTATGCCGAGGCTGGGCTGTGCGGCCCAGCACTGTCACCGCGCTCTCCCTCCGCATGCCAGAACCTGACACCCTGACCACTGAGGCATAAAAAACAGAGAATTGGAAGGCTCAGCCTGTCAGGCTGGGAGTGGCCCCCAGAGAGGCCTGAGGAGGAGCGTGTGTGTGTGTGTGTGTGT